GCCACGCTCTGTGCCTCTTTTTAAATGTCGTCTCTAATCCTTATGCTCTGTGTGGACTGGCTCAGAGCGGGGAAGTATTTTGTCTAAGGTCGCCCAGCTCCTAAGTGTGAAGACAAGATTGGAATCTGGGTCCATAATGCCAAAGCTCACCCCTTTCTCCACTGACTCGTGAAAGGGAGTCATTCTGTGGCCCCTGTACCCTAGGGTGTGTCAGTCCCCCTCCAGGCCTCTTCGGGGACTCTGCAGAGCCTGCGGGAGGGACTAGCTCTGCTGCGATTCCAGTGAGTTTCCAAGCTCTGAAGGGCATGGGGGTGAGGGGGCAGAAGGCTGAGGATATCGGTGTGTGTGTGCTAGTTTCTCACGTTTGTGTGATGGAAAGACACACAGAGAAGCGTACTAATCATAACCACAATAATATTAATAATAATCGTAGTGGCGGTCACGATAAAGGTGGCTACCATTTCTTGGCATTTACATGTTCCCTGCACTGTGCTAGTCAGTGCGTTTCCTGGACCATCACCTTCAGGCAGAGCAGGCTGTGGTGAAGACCCAGGCCTCAGGGTCAGGCGGATTGGATGGCAGTCCCAGCTCCCCGTTCTCGGACTTTGAGAAAGTCACTTGACCCGTCTGAGGCTCCACGTCCTCATCTGTCAAATGAGCTCCGAGTCCTGACCTTGTGGGGTTGGGTCGCTGCAGGGATGCAATGGGCCCCTGGATGTGAAGGACAAGCCCGACACAGAGGGGGCCTTCAACACCCGGTAGCCACGTGGCAGACACGTCTACGACGGAGGTGTGTGGAGTGTGCGTGCCTGTGTTGGTGTGGGGGCCTGGTGGGCCGCGTGCAGGCTGTGTGTCTGCAGAGTGAGGGGTGTTGAGTGCCGGTTGTTTTGTGGAGTGAGGGGTTCACTAGTGGAGGTCTCCTTTTGGACTGGAGCTGGCCGGCTGGTTCAGGGATGCCAGGCTCTCAGGCCCCAGCGGGGAGGGTTCTGGGGAGCCACTCCAGGCAGCTCCCTGCTTGTCACCAGCTCCAAGCATCCCTCTTCAGCTCTGGGGCTCCAGTCCAGCTGTGTCTCCTCCCTCCTCCGCCTAGGAGGCCCCCTCAGACTGGAGCCAGGACTCTCAGTGCCCCTGGGTTGGGGGGGTGCTGCTGGAGGAAGAAGATGAGGAGGAGAAAGGCCCTAGGATGGGACCCTGCGGCTGCTGCTGCTCCAAGCTCTGTGCCGGCGGCAGGGACTCTGAATTCGTCTGAGCGCTAGGGGGCAATGTGTCTGTTCCAAAGAAACCGCAGGCCCTGGCAGGCGGAGTGCACACACAGGCATATGCAGGGGCGCCCATGCCGTGGAGGCACACACACCGGGGCATCCACGGGCACAGATGGGCACAGGCAGTGGCACACACCCTCACACTCGCAGAGAAAACAGACACACGTGGTGTGAGGCAGTCGCGCACACACGTAGGTTCAAACTCAGGCATACACACAGGGGTAGGGGGACAGACAGCGCACCTCCCCCAGGGACACACCCAGAGACACAGGAATGCACGCATACACAGGCAAGTCCACAAACACAGGCAGATGCCCTGCCACCCCCACACAGGCGGAGACCCAAAGGCAGGCACACGCTACACACCCACACAACATTCGTCGTGTTAGGGAAAGGTGACCCAGACACACATCCTGAGCAGAAACAAGGCCGGGCCCAAACACACTCTCCTTTCAGACACTCACACACCTTGTAGACTTAACTTTTGGAAACAGCCCCAGAAAAATACTCCCACACCCCCCTCCCTGGAGCACACAGAATTATTCCACAGGAAACCTGCCCAGGTGTTCAGGGGACCCCCACCCAGCCCCGTGTGAAGTCATGCCTCAGCCGAGGGCACCCCCCAACGGGGGTCTCCCCAGACTGCAGGTCTGCGAGCCGTTCTTCCCACTGCCCTGGCCCATCCAGGGCTCCAGGCAGGTCCCAACTTTCCGTTTCCTCCAGACACACATGGAGACAGAAGTTTCCTCACATCGGTGCCTCCCGAGACACCCAGAACCCAGAACGGACTGCTCTGGAGCAGGTATGTGACCAGGTGTCATGGGCTTCTCACAAGCCTTTGCCCACACAGGGGCCTCCTCTTGGAAACCATCCCCCCTACTGGTCCCCTTCCTGCCCAGAAGGTTGCCCATGCTCTGGCCTGGGGCCCTGGGAGGGTGGGCTCACTGGAGGCCTACCCAGGCTCTTTATTTCTTTGTGCCGAAATCAGCCAAGCCCCCGTCTTTTCTCCAGCCCTCACTTCCCTGTCACTTTGCTAAGTAATAATTTCCATGTCCAATTCCATTTCTTTTCTAGTTCTGAAACCTCTGAGCTATCAGCAAGAGGATAGTTCACATGAAAACTAATTACACAAAATCAATATTTAATCACAGACCAACAACCTGATCCTGCAGAAAAATCCTTTTAAAACTCCACCGCCCTGTACAAATACTTCTTCCTGATGCTTATTTATGGACCCCATTTTTGGTGGGGGTAATTTTCATTTTTAATTTCAAACAGAAAAAATATCTGTAGACGTTCACACCAGAGAGGTCCCAGGAAGGGCCTTAGATCTGAGCTGGCTCCCGCTCTCTGAGTTTTAAAGTTGCAGGTTTTTATTGTTTTTTTTTTTTTTTAATTCTTGTTTGGGGCAGGGGTGTTATTTTTTTCGGGAGTCCCTCCAGACTCTGCTTCCTGCCTCCCCTTGACCTCAGTTGAGCCCATTTTCCTGGCATTTTGATTCTGGAACACCCCAGCCTCTGCCTTCCCAGCAGCGACCTCAGGGAGCAATGAATCCGCGTGCACGACGTGGTAACTTTTTAACTCCCGCCCGCAATAGTGGAGTGCTTAATCTGAGGTTTTTAAATAAAAAGGGCTCAGGGGTTGGTTTTATTATAACGTTTATTTCATTTCAGATTTCATGGGCAATTTAGCAAACGCTAGACAGACTCGGGCGATAAACACTTTCTTTTGTGGGGGGAAAAGGCATTTTTATACACCATGCTTAATTTTATTTAGATCAAATAGCAATACCAGGGCACTTCAAAAAAGTTCTTTTTTTCTCCCCTTCTCCTAAGAACACTGGTCTGGTAGCAAAATCGCCTCGTGCTATTTTATGGCAAGGAAAACGAAAGACCTTCTCCCCCTTCCTCCCCTACACACACTTTAGGGAGGAAAACACACACACACACACACACACACACACACACACACGCAGGCACACAGAATAAACACCTCCTCTACCCTCCATCACCTCCAACTCCCAACTTCTAATTGCAAGATAGATTTCAGCCTCAGTAGGGATCAGGAAGATCTAAACATTTTAACTAAGATTATTGGGATAAATATTTCATAAAGAGCAGGGCAGATATTAAATTACTCCTATTGATTTTAGTATCACAACCCAATTCCGTTCCTTGGCCTCTTCAGTTTAATTGATCTCTTAAGGAGGCCAACCTTGCGCCCGCAGAGGGTCTGGGCCTTGGCCGGGATGCTCGGAGTAGGGTGCTCGGTCCGCGCGTGCGTCCTTGGCGCGAGGGTCTTCTCCGGGTTCCCAGCTGCCTCGCCGGTCTGGCGCTGGTCTCATCTGATGTGCCCCCAATAAAGTGGCCGAGTGGTCATGGCTCCTCCTGGCGGAAGCCAGCGACTGAGAACCGGGAACCCCAGACAGTGGGGATAGGGAACAATTGTGCGCGCCCTAGTGAGGGAGAAGCGAGCAAACGCCCGGGTCGTTCGAGGAGAACCCTAACTTCGGGGTTCCCTGTCTGCTTTCACCTCCAGGAAAATCTGAGGGCCAGCTAACTTGGGCGCCACTAGTAAGCAGACAGCGGCGGAGAGCCGAGGGTTCGCCCCAGAGCTGAAGCGCAGCCGTCACTTAGAGACTTTCCGTGGCGAGTCCGGGAGCTTTGCCTGGCGACCCCATTGTCTGCGCGCCCCGCACCGCTTACCGCCCACCTCCCCGCCCCCTGCCCACCCCGCAGGCCTCGCTTCAGTTGGGGGTGGGGAGTTGGGAACTGTGTAAGTAAAGGGGTGAACAAAGCCAGCTCCCGCCATTCTCCGCCAGCACCCTCTCCAGCCCGCCGCGCCAGGAGGCCAGGGCGCGCCCCCAGCGCACTGGCGCCGGACCCCGAGGCGACACCGGCGCGAGGGACCCAGGAGCTGGCGGAGTGCGGGTTCGTGGCGGGGGCCTCAGCAGCCAGCACCCAGGACCACCTTAAGAGCGAGCCCCGCCCCGGACCCGGAGCTCGGGCTGCGCTGATTGGTGCAAATGTAATGGCTGAAATTGATTGCTGAAATGCAAAACTTGTTGCTGCTTCTCCCGGCGTTGGGCGAGACGCAGACACAGAGAGGGGAGCCGAGACCCTCGGAACGCCCCAAGCAGAGCCCCCCCGCCAGCCAGGAGAGGGGTGCGCGGACCCCCCAGAGGTGCCCCCGCCCCCCCAATCCGGGCTCCGAGAGCACAGCCGGACCGCCTTAGCCTGCTTGCCCAGCGTGGCCCCCCAACCCGCGTACGCCCCCCTCCCCAGGTCCGAGGGGGACTCGCGAAGCACCTCGGCGCGGAGGCAGGGAACCTGAACCTTGGAGCCAGCCAACCCCTCGTCTCGCTGCCCGTCCGCGCCTGGAACGGGGCGCGGAGACCTCCGCGAACTCAGAGACCGAACAGCGGAGGACAGAAGCGGCAGGCAGCGGACGTGGCCGCGAAGCGGCGCGCCGGGGTGCAGCGCACCCGCCGCGGAGCAGGGGAGCCGCGCCTTCCCCCAACCCTCCGCTCCAACCCCGGGCGCCCGCCGCCTCCCCAGCTGCGCTGAGCCCTCGGCTCGGGGGCGGGCACCGGTGATGCCGAGCGGAGCCTCCAGTCCTCCGACCCGCTGAAGAAGCAGTAGCCGCTTGCTCGGGGCCGACGGGGACTGTGCGACCGGATCGTGCTTGGAGGAGGCTTGGGTTGCGGAGCGCGGGGACTCCGGGGGGAGGGGGGAGGGACCGCTCTATCCGTGCCCCGGCGCCAGCCACCGCTTTGAAGGGTCTCCCTGCCCGGCCCTTTAGCGGCTCCGCCACGGACTCCGGGAGGCTTCCGGCGGCGTCCTGGGGCTCCCCACCCGATCCGATCGGACTTAAGAAGGTGATCGCTCTGCTCTCCCTCCCTCTTCCCGCCTCCTTTCCCCCACTTAACTTTTTGTCTCCACTCGTCCGCAGCTCCGTCCCCTCTCCGCAAACCCACCCGCGGCTGTGCCAAGCCCCCGGGGCATGGGCCCCCCAACACGGCTCCTGGAGGCCCCGCGGCGCCGCAAGATGTGAGAGGCCCGCGTGGGGCAGAGCCAGAGCTTCGGGAGAGGAGCAGAGAGCCCCCAGCCTCCACACGCCAGGCGAGGTGGCGGTGCGCGCTGCGCCCCCGCCGTGCTGAGCGTCCCGGAGCGTCCAACCCAGGGCCGGAACGAGTAGCTGGCCGGAGGCGCGCCGCGGAGAGCAGGCTGTCATGCCCTATTGATCCCCCCGCCCCCCGCCAAGTATGTTTGGGCTGGACCAATTCGAGCCCCAGATCAACAGCAGGAACGCTGGCCAGGGCGAGAGGAACTTTAACGAGGCCGGACTAAGCATGAACGCCCACTTTAAGGCCCCGGCTTTCCACGCCGGGGGACCCCCTGGTCCGGTGGACCCTGCCATGAGCGCGCTGGGCGAGCCCCCGATCTTGGGCATGAACATGGAGCCTTACGGCTTCCACGCGCGCGGCCACTCGGAGTTGCACGCGGGGGGGCTGCAGGCGCAGCCAGTACACGGATTCTTTGGAGGCCAGCAGCCGCACCACGGCCACCCAGGAGGCCATCACCCCCACCAGCATCACTCCCACTTCGGGGGCAACTTCGGCGGCCCGGACCCAGGGGCCTCGTGCCTGCACGGGGGTCGCTTGCTCGGCTACGGCGGCGCCGGCGGCGGCCTGGGCAGCCAGCCGCCCTTCGCAGAGGGTTACGATCACATGGCAGAGAGCCAGGGGCCTGAGAGCTTCGGCCCGCAGCGACCCGGGAACCTTCCGGACTTCCACAGTTCGGGCGCCTCGGGCCACGCCGTGCCTGCCCCATGCTTGCCGCTGGACCAGAGCCCTAACCGAGCCGCCTCCTTCCACGGCCTACCCGCCTCCAGCGGCTCCGATTCCCACAGTCTGGAGCCCCGGAGGGTGGCGAACCAAGGAGCCGTCGACTCGCTGGAATACAATTACCCGGGCGACGCGCCCTCAGGACATTTCGACATGTTTTCGCCCTCCGATTCCGAGGGGCAGCTGCCTCATTATGCGGCTGGTCGCCAGGTTCCCGGGGGCTCTTTCCCCGGTGCCTCGTCCATGCCCAGAGCTGCAGGCATGGTGGGCTTGTCCAAAATGCACGCCCAGCAACAGCAGCAGCAGCAGCAGCAGCAGCAGCAGCAGCAGCACGGCGTGTTCTTCGAGAGGTTCGGCGGGGCCCGCAAGATGCCCGTGGGTCTGGAGCCTGGAGTGGGCTCCAGGCACCCGTTAATGCAGCCTCCTCAGCAGGCCCCGCCGCCCCCTCAGCAGCAGCCCCCGCAGCAGCCCCCGCAGCCGCAGGCGCAGCCGCCGCCGCCTGGGCTTCTGGTCCGACAAAATTCGTGCCCGCCTGCGCTCCCGCGGCCCCAGCAGGGCGAGGCGGGCACGCCCAGCGGCGGCCTGCAGGACGGGGGCCCCATGCTGCCCAGCCAACACGCGCAGTTCGAGTACCCCATCCACCGGCTGGAGAACCGGAGCATGCACCCTTATTCCGAGCCTGTGTTTAACATGCAGCACCCCCCTCCGCAGCAGGCGCCCAACCAGCGCCTGCAGCATTTCGACGCACCCCCCTACATGAATGTGGCCAAGAGGCCGCGCTTTGACTTCCCGGGCAGCGCGGGCGTGGACCGCTGCGCTTCGTGGAACGGCAGCATGCACAACGGCGCTCTGGACAACCACCTCTCGCCCTCCGCCTATTCGGGCCTGCCCGGCGAGTTCACGCCGCCTGTGCCCGACAGCTTCCCCTCGGGGCCACCCCTGCAGCATCCGGCCCCGGACCACCAGTCCCTGCAGCAGCAGCAGCAGCAGCAACAGCAGCAGCAGCAGCAGCAGCAGCGCCAAAACGCGGCCCTCATGATTAAGCAGATGGCGTCGCGGAATCAGCAGCAGCGGCTGCGCCAGCCCAGTCTGGCTCAGCTAGGCCACCCCGGGGACGTGGGCCAGGGCAGTTTGGTGCACGGCGGCCCGGTGGGCGGCTTGGCCCAGCCGAACTTTGAGCGTGAAAGCGGCGGCGCGGGCGCGGGGCGACTGGGCACCTTCGAGCAGCAGGCGCCGCACTTGGCGCAGGAGAGCGCGTGGTTCCCAGGGCCGCATCCACCGCCAGGTGACCTGCTGCCCCGCAGGATGGGCGGCTCGGGCCTGCCCGCTGACTGCGGCCCTCACGACCCCGGGCTGGCACCGCCCCCTCCGCCGGGCGGCTCAGGGGTGCTCTTCCGGGGCCCTCTGCAGGAGCCGCTGAGGATGCCCGGAGAGGGCCACGTGCCCGCGCTGCCCTCCCCTGGCCTGCAGTTCGGGGGCAGCCTGGCCAGCCTGGGCCAACTGCAGTCGCCCGGGGCTGGGGTGGGGCTGCCCAGCGCTCCCTCCGAGCGCCGGCCCCCGCCGCCGGATTTCACCGCGCCCGCGCTCGCGGGCCAGCCTGGTTTCCCGTTCGGCGCGGCAAATCGGCAGGCCACGCCGCACAGCGGCCCAGGCGTGAACTCGCCCCCGAGCACGGGTGGGGGCGGCGGCAGCACGGGCGGCGGCGGCGGCGGCGGGGGCGCCTACCCGCCGCAGCCTGATTTCCAACCGAGCCAGCGGGCCTCGGCCAGTAAGCTGGGCGCGCTCTCACTGGGCTCCTTCAACAAGCCCAGCTCCAAGGACAACCTGTTCGGCCAGAGCTGCCTGGCTGCGCTCTCCACCGCCTGCCAGAACATGATTGCCAGCCTCGGGGCCCCCAACCTCAACGTGACCTTCAACAAGAAGAACCCGCCCGAGGGCAAGAGGAAATTGAGCCAGAACGAGACCGAAGGCGCGACTGTGGCCGGCAACCCGGGCTCGGATTACTTCCCCGGAGGGACTGCTCCTGGGGCTCCAGGGCCCGGAGGCCCGTCGGGGACCAGCAGCAGCTCCAAAGCCTCGGGGCCGCCCAACCCGCCCGCCCAGGGGGACGGCACCAGCCTCTCCCCAAACTACACCCTGGAATCAACGACGGGGAACGACGGCAAGCCGGTCCCCGGGGGCGGCGGCCGGGGACGGGGTCGCAGAAAAAGGGACAGTGGTCACGTGAGCCCCGGGACCTTCTTCGACAAGTACTCGGCAGCGCCGGACAGCGGGGGCGCGCCTGGGGTGAGCCCAGGGCAGCAGCAGGCGCCAGGCGCAGCCGTCGGGGGAAGCTCCGCCGGCGATGCGCGCGGGGCGCCGACGCCTCATGAGAAAGCGCTCACATCGCCATCGTGGGGGAAGGGGGCCGAGTTGCTCCTGGGGGACCAGCCGGACCTCATGGCGTCCCTGGACGGCGGGGCCAAGTCGGACGGTAGCTCCCCGCACGTGGGCGAGTTCGCCTCGGACGAAGTCAGCACGAGCTACCCGAACGAGGACGAGGTGTCTTCCAGCTCCGACAACCCCCCGGCCCTGGCCAAAGCGAGTAGGAGCCCTCTGGTGACAGGCTCGCCCAAACTCCCTCCCCGTGGGGTGGTCGCCGGGGAACACGGACCGAAGGCACCCCCGCTTGGCCTGGGCATCTTGTCTACCTCTACCTCGACCCCTGACAGCTATGGCGGCGGCGGCGGCGCGGGCCATCCGGGCACGCCGGGCCTGGAGCAGGTCCGGACCCCGACCAGCAGCAGCGGTGCACCGCCACCCGACGAGATCCACCCCCTGGAGATCCTCCAGGCACAGATCCAGCTGCAGAGGCAGCAGTTCAGCATCTCCGAGGACCAGCCCCTGGGGCTCAAGGGTGGCAAGAAGGGGGAGTGTGCCGTCGGGGCCTCTGGCGCGCAGAATGGCGACAGCGAGCTGGGCAGCTGCTGCTCTGAGGCCGTCAAGAGCGCCATGAGCACGATCGACCTGGACTCGCTGATGGCAGAGCACAGCGCCACCTGGTACATGCCTGCTGACAAGGCCTTGGTGGACAGCTCGGACGACGACAAGACGCTGGCGCCCTGGGAGAAGGCCAAACCCCAGAACCCCAACAGCAAAGAAGGTATATGCACTCTTTCCCTGTCCCCTTCTGACCCCTGGAGACCCGCCCACCCCATTGCAGGCCTCAGCCTCCCAGGCCTTGAAGGCTTCATAAAAGAAGGAGGTCCCTAGAGGTTAGGAGAGCACAGGGCTGCCAGGTAGATTCTAGTTCCGCAGGGTGATAAGAACCCAGATGGCAGTCCTTTGGGGATTATTGTAGAGTCCCCCCTCCTCAAGTTTTAGCTGAGTTGCTGGTTGCTCAGAGGACCAAGTCCCTTTCCTTTCACACTAGACCCTTCCTCATCCTCAACATTCAGGCGGGTTCCACTTTTTAGGAGTTGTGTCCCCCCCTCCTTCCTGGCAGGACACCTGGGAAGTTGTGTTAATGCCTCTGCATCTTCTCCTAGTCAGCCAACCTCCAGCTTGAGTTCCCTTTGGTGTGCCAGCATCTTGAGAAAAGAAAGTTACCAGCTCTGGTGTCGGCAGGCAGCATCACGCAGAGGCAACGCCTAATTTGACATTTGTTCCTAATGAATAGCTGTTTTGTCTCTTCTTAACTATTAGAGTTTCATTGAAAAACTGGAGACCTGTGGGGCTGGTAAGAGACAGGCTGCCTTTTCAGGGTGCATCTCCTTGACATTTGGTGGGGGGGCTGGGGTTGGGGTGGAGTCTGCTTGGCAGAGACCAGACCACTCAGCCAGGGCATCATTTGTGTATGGGGATATGGATATATATTCTTAAGACACAAAGGACCCGCGTTTGTCAATATCTCGCCTGGCTTTGGTGACAGATGTCCGGTCCCTGCTCTCGTTTGCATTCTGAGCACTCCCTCCCTGCCAGGCCTAGAGGCCTTTAAGGTGGTGGGATAGGGGTTAGGAAATGGACCGCCATGGCAGTTCAAGTCATAACAGTTTTTTTAACCTAAAGATGACAGGGCTGCAGTAGATATCCACTTTATTTTATTGGGGCCTTTTTTTTTTTTTAAATCCCCACAGATAATGGCTTCTTAAAATTAGGTAGCATCATTTTTTTTTTTCCATTCCTACCTTTTTCTTTTCAACCCTAGTTGAAGCCCCTTGGTTTCACCAGGCGGAATATTACCATGGAGCCAGTGGCTGGCGATTTAACCTTGTGTTGTAAAAAATCCGTCTCCGGATTCTTGCCCTCTCCTAGAGTTCTTTTCCTCTGACTTGGTTTTTCTCCTCCCCACATCCTGCCATCTCTTGACTCTGGGTTTGAGGTGAGCGTAGGTCTTGGGAGAATGGGATGGGGGTGGGCGGAGGGAGGAGGAGGAGGAGGGGAGGCGCAGCCGGCAGGACTTGGGTGGCTCAGAACTCGGGGCTTTCTCCGCGGCGCCCCCGTCCCGAGTAGCTCAACCGCTTGGGTTTTCTAATTCATGAATGCGTCCGCACTGCTTTTCTCTTTGTTCGCCCACTGCCCAGCCCGGGACGCGGCTCTCTCATTTGAAGCCGCGTGTTTAGCATGCACAGCAGACGCTGCGGCCAGCATCAGCATTCTCCAGGCTTCTCCCAGGCAAGGCCATAAATTGGTTAGTTTGGGACCCTCCACTTCTTCTCCTCGCCGCCCCCCTCCTTTTGAAAATGGAGTTGGACACAGCATCCTGCTTGCTCGGCCCCCCTTCTCTTTTATTTTCTTGTACACATCTCGGTCCCGCGATCAATAGCTGGTTAGCACAAATCCCAGCCCCTGTCACTCTTACCTGGCTTGGCCTGGCTGCCCCTCCCCCTCCCCCTGCTCCCATCCCCCCAGTAATTAAGAACATATTGGGCAAAATGGGGTGAGAAAAGTTTAAAAAAAAACCCGATTTAGAGAATTAATAAAGAAAAACCAGTAGCACTTTGCCTGCGAGTCTTTTGGAGGGCCTTAGACTTAGGGGGAGAGGAATTGAGTGGTTTTAATGAGATTTTTTTTTTTTAAGGTGTGGCACCACTCCCTTCCCCGTCCAACTAATTTTCCTTTACAGGAAAAAAATGGCAGGCTGCGAATGAAGAAATGTCATTAAAGAGATGTTTTGTTTTGTTTGTTTCATTATCACAGTCAGAGGAGGGAAAATATGTTTCTGGAGACAGATGCTAGGCACTTTAAGGTTGATTTCCCCTGTAAGCTGAACGCCCTCCCCTGCCCAGGGGAGGACGGGGACTTCCTTCAGGCACCGGGTTGCGGGGCTGGCCGCCTGAGAAGCCTCGGCAGGGACATCCACTTGACCTCTTTTGTTTTCCACTGTGTGATGTGGGAAGGACAGTTTCCTAGATAAAGCCCCGAATTGAGGTCACTCGCAGCTTCTGTAGCCTTGGGGCTGCTAGTTAAGGCTTTATAAGGTATCTGCATCCGATTTCTGCTCCCTTACTGGTAGTAAATAAGGATGATTAAACTTTTCATTATGATAACACCCCACAGTTCCATCTGTACATGTTGTATAAATAGGTACACAGAGCCTTCAACAGGCCCCCGAGTCCCCTGGCTGAAATTCAGAGTGAAGTGTGCCACTTCAAAACAGACTTAAAAAATTTTTTAAGTAAAACATTCTGATTTTCCTTAAGCGCAGGCCCACGGTCCCATCAGCCAGGAAGCAGTGGTGTCTCGAGCCTTTGAATGTTCCTTCTCTAGGTTCCAGCCCTAGCAAGCACTTTCTTTCACCTCCCACCCGCCCCCCCCCAGGCAAAGCTCATTTTTGTAATGATATTTTATTTTGTCACGCCATAAAACACACCAGTACTAATGTGATTAAATATTAACACCGTTTCTGAAATTCTTCGCTCCGATGACAAAATACTAGTCGGTATTTAACAAAATGATCCGTGCTCGGATTGGAGAGAACGGATAAGTCTTCAGAACTGCACAAGCCATGTAGCCACTGGGACGTGCCCAGATTGTCTTATGGGGTTTAGATGTCCTTTGGAGGGGAGGGGATTTGACTGGCAAGTTGCAGTTGTCGAAAAGTCTAGGCCAGAATCACATGTGATTATGATTTTTTTACAGGAAAGTCAGCCTTTCCAGATTATGCTTCCTCTGACTTCTTAATCAACCCACCCAACAACTTTTATGTAATGAAACTCTCCATCTCATCATGAGATTCTGTTTGCACAAAGTGGAGTGGGGGAAGGGTGAGGTAGTGCAAAGAAAAAAAAAACAGCCTGAGTTTGGGCCTATTCAGACGTCTGTTACATCAGTGAGGATTACATAAATTTGAAATTAGTTTGCAGAATCGTCCACCTATGTTTGTAATAGGTGTGTGGCTATGGAGGAATTTCAAAAGAGATAGAGGAGGAGAGATAATGATAGATTGTAGATAAAGGATATTAAGTCTGAAAAAGTGTGTTTTCCCCTCTCCTGCCCCTTACAATCTTCAAAACTTGAATTAACCGTATTGTGCAATGAATTTATCCTTGCCAAAGTTCCATTCTGTTGGTTGCTCTCTCTCTTGAAGTCCAGAGCAGTCTAGAAATGCTCTTTCACACACGTTGAAACGGGAGAGGTCTCTGTATGTGCTCTGCATGCAATCCAGCCCTTTTTGGAAGTATGATGTTTTTACAGTGATGCGGGAGAAATTTTTGGAATTTCATGCTTCTCTCAGTGTTCCAATTGGAATACAGTGAGTCAGTGCTGAGAAATACTAGGCAGGCAGGATTTGAACATTGAATTTCCTTAGATGTGGGGCAGGCTTGAGGGAGGAGAGGGCATCCTAGTGCTGTTTTTCTGAGTCGTTCTCCCCACTCCCCACGCCGTGGAGAGAATTTTGAAGGCTCATTCAAACTTGTTTTGGGAAGGCAAGGAGCCTTGCACTCCCGTTTCCTCGAGAAATCACCCAGCCCGTGCTGCATGCCCTCCTGTGACTTCTGCGCCTCCGGAAGATGTAACCCAAAACTTCACAGGTGTTAATCAGGAGTAATATAAACAGAGAGGAGCCCGCTTTGTGCAGCTGAGGGTAGGGCCTGCCCGCTCCCTGGCTGGTCCCGGACACACTACTACTGTTCTCTGGTGCTTGTTTAATATTTCATGGCTGTAATAAACCTGTCTTCTTTGCCCGCCTCCCGACATAAAACCCCAACCTAGCTCACATCTACAATTATACATTTCTACTAAATATTAATAAGGGACAAGGATGTTTTAAGGGGCTGAAGCTTATCGGTATTGAACTTGTCATGGTTTCTGCCCCTGGATTATCCTGGCTGTTTTGATTTTAAATAGCCACTGCCTTCTAATATGTAATATATACTTATATATCCTTATTTATATAAATATAGACAATTTTTTGTAGATTGAAGGCCATTCCTCAAGGATAGCTTTCTTTCATATAAATTCATTTAGATTTCTTTCGAGGCCCCTTCAGACCGGAAGTAAGACACTGTTGAAATGTGCTTCTGTTTTATTGAGGTTTCTAGGAAAGGAGCGAGGGTTGGTTAATCTAATTTCTCTTCTAGCAATGAAATTCTATGATTCCTGATATGATTTTGTTTGCCTGACAGAGGTATTTAAATTTCCACAAAGAATCTTAATAGACCCTGAATATACGGCTGCCCTCGCCAAGAAGTTACTTGATACCCTCTGCTGATATAAAATATACATCTTTAATAAACAGTACGGGAGGACCAGGTGAAATTAGAGGAGGGAAATTCTTCCCACTCTGGAAGAGCAAACTTGAGTGTATCCCTGGGATTTCACAGGCTCTCCCAAACTCACTCCATGCTGGAAGATTTAGCAAAATCACCTTTCTCTCCACTTGAGTGACAATGACATCTGGTGGTGTTCTCTGCTCTTTGCCCAGAGCATTGAGGAGGTAAACACTCCTAGTAAGGAATACTATATTTACCTCTGTTTGGTTAATTTTAGAGATTAAAAGGCTATAGCTTTATGTAATAGGATCAAATGTCCGGAGAGTGTATGTGGGCAAGCAGGCGTCCCAAACACATTACAACATAAAGGCACCACACCCTCTCATGCCAGAGGGCACCTGGGTCTCCTGGGGGCCCCCTGTGACCAGTGGGTGCACCTTATAGCCTT